CTTGTTGGAAGCGAAGATGTTAAAAAAAAAAAAATGTATGTATATATATAAATACATACAGTGTGTATGTGTATGTATATATATATATATATATATATATATATATATATATATATATATATATATATATATATATATATATATATATATATATATATATATATATATATATATATATATATATATATATATATATATATATATATATATATATATATATATATATATATACATATATATATATATATATATATATATATATATATATATATATATATATATATATATATATATATATATATATATCAGGCCTTGTTACGAGATTTCGCTGCGTAACGGAAAAGCGAAACGTGAATAAATGTAACTTTACTCAATAAATATATTTACATTGTTAAAAGTTAATTTACGTCAGTTGCGTTTTTACTTCATTGTAATTAAATTTAAAATGACATTAAAAACTATTGTTAGTCTTTGAAACGAAATAGCTTTAAATTGAACAATGTTGTTATAAAAAAAAAAATTTCAATGTTGATTAAAAAAAAGTCTTCTTGTATTAAAATCTTATACTTATTTAAACTTAATTTTTTTGCTTTTAAACATTCGTTTTATGGTTGTTTTTTTTTTATTTTTTTTTTAAATAATTTAAATTTAAAACTTGTTTATGGTTGATTTTCTTGAAGGGATTTAAATGTACTTAGATAGATTGGGTTTTCCCCTTTAAAAAAAAACGTTTGTACTAACTGGTTTTGATAAAATAAATGTTGTAAAGAAACAAAATTTACTGCTTTTTCGGCTTTGTTTTTTTTTTATTTCCATTAAAATATTTTATTTTTATGTACAGTGAAACCTAATATTTTTTTACTCAATCCAAAAAAAAAAATAGTGTTTTCGGTTTTAAGATGTTATAACCAGAATTTGTTTTTAACAAACATCATTATAATTTTGAAATTTATGTATCTTATATTTATAGCTCAAGTACTTGTTTTGTTTTTAAAATAAAATAAAGATAAATTGGGCTTTTAAAGAGTTTATTTTACTGATAGCGTTATTTTTAATAAGTTTGAATTTTAGTTTGTTCAAGGACGTATTATTATTAATACGTCCTTGGTTTGTTTTATAAAAAAAAATTCTTCGGCAAACGGAAAACCTAAACATAACATTTATAACTCGAGTTTAAAAGTATTGACGTCATTTATTAACTTGTAGTTATAAAATGAATAATGCGCTTCTGTAAATAACAAATGAAACTGTAAAATAATGGAAAAATAAAAACTGGAAAATAATGTGCTTTTGTTAAGCGCATTATTCAGACCAGTATTTGGAACTTACTTAAAACTTAATTAAAATTAAAATAAAGTTATATGTAATACGAACATTTTAAAGTAACTTGAATTAAATTTATTAAATCTTTTTTTACTTTGGTAATTTTATCATAAAAAAAACGGAGCATTTTAAAATTAAAAAATTTTAAAATGCTCTGTTTTAAAATTAAATGAATAAATTTTAATTAAATTTAATAAATTTATTTAATAAAAACTATAATTATTAAAAAAATATTTAAATTTAATAAAATAAATTGAAAATATTTCTTTTTTTAAATTTGATTGTTTACTTATGAAATCTAATATTTAAAATTAAATATGATGAAAAGTTTAAACTTAAAACACTTTATTTTCTTTAAGTAATTTTTAAAAACTATTAAGCAAATTGTTTCTTTAACAAAAAATCTATTAGTTTACAATTGCGGTTAAATGCTTTTACTAACGACTTTAATACTTCCAAATGAACGTCACATAAACGATATAAAAAGATAATTTAAATATTCTAAAAGATAAGTTTTTGCGTAACGCATAACTGCTGAACGCGTAGGCAAATCGCCTTTTCACAGGCAAAATGCGAGCTGCGTAACGCTTCTTAACAAGGCCTGTAATATATATATATATATATATATATATATATATATATATATATATATATATATATATATATATATATATATATATACATATATATATATATATATATATATATATATATATATATATATATATATATATATATATATATACACACATATATATATATATATATATATATATATATATATATATATATATATATATATATATATATAATATATATATATATATATATATATATATATATATATATATATATATATATATATATACATATATACACTTCCTTCTTATGTATTTATATATATATATTCTTCTTGTTTCTATTTGTTTGTCTGTTTTAATTTTGTTTTTAAAAAAAATATGAATGATGAATTTAAATCTATAAAATGTTCGGAATCTTTTAAAACTTAAAACATCTTTTGTATATTTAAATATATATTATGAAGTTTATTGAATATGTATACGCATATGTACCAATTTGTAAATAGTTTTTTTCAAACATTTTAAATTTTCTATTATTTTTAAACTTTTTAGTTTTGTCAAACTTAAAAAAATTTTTTTAAAACTTAAATTTTTCAAACTTTATAATTTGTTTTTTTTTTATACTTTTTTTAATTTCACTCTTTTATATATTATTTGAAGTTGTAATATTTTATTTTATTTTTTTCTATTTTCACAAAGGGGCTTGATGATAAGACATTTTGTCTTCTACTTCCCGCAGCCAGCTTGTAATTGTATAAATTTATTTGAATGTAAGATTAACATTGTAAAATGTGTCAAATGATGAAAATAATAATAATAATAAAAAAATTTAGATACGGGACAATATGTCAACAAAATTTCGGACACCATTTCTAGCGCACTTATTTCAGAAAAAGACAAAACCATCCATAAATCATTGACATAAAATAGAACTGCAATTTTTAAAAATAACATATAAACAAAAACAAACAAAAAACTTTTAACCTGAAGAGGCTGGTCACAACAATCCAGCAAAAATTTCTTATAAAAAATAAATTTAGTATCGAGATAAAATTGTATTTATTTACAAACATTGAAAAATATATATCCACATTGAAAAAAAAAAATCGATTTCTAACAGGAAAAAAAAAAATTGTATTTCTAACAGGAATATTTGACCACTTGCCTCTTTATCAAGAGGTCTGTGATTGAATGTTAGCTATAGCTATATTTGCAACATCAATAAGAAATGTGGTGTGAAATTCCTAACTCTTTTGTGAAGCTCAATGATAAAGCCTTAAGCAATTTTTAACATTTATCTTTGACTCACTATACTCACTCGCAACTGAATTACTCAGTAAGTCAGCTTAATTAGACATACTTAATTACATAAATAAAATATGAATGTAATAAAACTTAATTATCAAGTGATTAACTAAATTACTCTAAAATACAATTAAATAAGTATAACTTTTTTAAAATTAGGAATTTTTTTTTTTTCGAACAACATATAAATTTCATTTATAATTTTTTTTACAAAAGTATTGTTTAATTTAAAGATATTTAAAGATATCACTTTTAATGATTTTTAACGTGGTTTCAAATTAAAATTAATTACAATGCAGTACTTTAAAATATGATATTGAGATAATTTAACTTTTAACGACATATGTATATTTTATAAAGTTACATTTACTTGCATTACACAATAAAATCTTATAACAAGGCCTATGTACAAATTTTATCTATTTATTTTTATCTAAATTTTATAAATGTTATATATTTATTTGCATAATTATATACAAAAATTTATTGTCAAAAAATATACCTCTTCCATCTATTTCCCAGATTTTAACTTTTCGATCTGAACCACCTGTTACAAAGTATTTTCCAGAAGGACTAAAACGCACTGTCATGACTTCTCCTTCATGGCACTCCTATTTGACATTAAAAAAAAAAGAAATTTGCATTTAATGAAAACGTGTAATATAATGACAACAACAATAGAAATATACAAGCCTAAAAAGTTACAAAACTATGCATGCATTTAAATGAGTTGTTTAGTTACAAAACTATGCATGCTGCATCTAAATAAGTTGCTTAGGCACAAAGCTATGGATGCTACATTTAAATGAGATGCACATTACAGAACTACAGATGCTACATTTAAATGAATTGCTTAGTCACAACTATAGATATATATTTATATATAAACCATAAAAAAGAAAACATAATAACGCTAATTAATGATCATTAATGCTAATTAATGATAAAATACTAAATTGCATATCTTTAAAAGTACATTTGACTCTTTAAAAACTGTTCTACTGATTTTAAAAGATCATTTTATTTAACAAACCAAGTTTGTTTAAACAGAAAACCAAGTTTGTTTAAGAACAGAGTTTGTCAATAAAAAAAAACTCTGTTCGTACAATTTATAAAGATTTGTTATTTCTTTTCAAGGTGAATAGTAAAAGAGAAATACTTAGCATCCTTTCCGCTAAATATCTGTATTAGTCCTTAAACAAGATCTTTTTAAGATCTTGTTTAAGGACTAATAATAATACTTGGTATTAGTCCTTAAACAAGATCTTACCAAACCTTTTAAAAATGCTTTGTGTAGAAAAGATAAATGTTATATAAAAAATTGAATAAAAGAAGCTCCTCTTTATTCTTTTATTAACAGAACTTACTGTTGATTGTGTGGGTCGATCTGGGACAGAAGTTAAGCAGATCATTCCTAGGTTAGAATAGCTTGAAGATCTCTTACCAATTTCAGGGCTCAATGATCTAAAAAATAATTAAAAAAATGTAAATTTTTTTTTTTCATGTTTTAATATATATTTAAAATTTTACAATTATATAAAAAAAAACATGTATGGACATTAAGGTTGTTCATAGAAGCAATTTTTTTGAATTCTCCAACCTCCTAAATTTGTTTAATATAATAAAATAACACTGGATTTAAAAAATCTTTGAATAAAAAATATTCTTAGAAGATCATACAAACCTTATTGAATACTAAATGGGTTTTTAATACAAAAGTATATAATGTTATGTTAATGGGTTTTTAGCTTAAAAATAATTTGTTATAAAAAAAAAAAATGTAAAATGAATATATTTTTTTTAAATATAAAAAACCTTAGTTTTTATCCAATCAAATCTAAAATGATCATTTTGTATGAAATAATTATTATTTTTGAAATTTTGATATAATTTTTCTTTTTTTGAGATTCAGGTTGAACTTTTTTTAAAATAATATTAGGAACCCCATAAATATTCAAAGGTCTTGAGGAACCGCTTAAAACATTTTTTTATTTTCGAAATCTTTAAACACAGTCCTTTTTTATTATATTAAACACATTTAGGGGGTTGAATCAAGTATTTTAAAAAAGCTGCTTTTACTAACCATCCAAATAAACTTTTTAGTATACACAGTATACATTCAAATGCATCATGTTAAGGGTTAAGAAAAACAGAAAAATAAAATGGTCTCTCCTTCCAATAAGATGGTTGTGTCTAGTTTTACTAATTAGCTTGCGAAAATTTGATTTAAAAATCTGCTAGCTAAGTTGTATAATCTAAGTTGTATAAATATAAAGTATTATAGATTAATTTTTAATACCACCCACAACCACCACCAATCTTTATAAGTTCAAATATTTTATGGCCATAAAAATCATGCATATAAATTATAACTATTTAATGTAAGTATTTAATGATTTGTTTTATTTATTACACAGGTGATAGAAAAATAGGTTCATTTGCTGCATCGATCAATTCTTGTTGAAGCTTTTGTTGCCTCTTACTAAAAAAACAAGTTAAATAGTTACTGAAATGTAAAAAAAAAAGTAAAAAGTATGATCTGCTGAATTAATAATACCTAGCCAAAACTTCATTTTACATGTTAAGAAGATCTGCTTCTAATGCTTTTTGATGCATACACCTTTTACCTAAAATAAAATGGAAGTTTTAAAATAATTGTTTTTGTGCACACACTCACACACACACACACACAATTCCCTCAGGCCTTCACTGCTCGTGTGTTTTATGTATGTAATTTTATATATGTACCATTATTGTCTATGATTAGATTATGATTATTTGTCTATGATTAGATATGATATGATTATTGTCTACTTATCACTACACTAATTATGTTTACACATTAGCATTAATGTTTTTTTTCCATTATTAGTCCTTTCATTGTTGTTAGCATATTTTTAATTTGTTGAATTGTTTTTTATTTTACACAATTTTTTAATTTTATTTTTTTATTTTTTTATTTATATATATATATATATATATATATATATATATATATATATATATATATATATATATATATATATATATATATATATATATATATATATATATATATATATATATATATATATATATATATTATTATTATTATTTGTTTTTATTTTTTTTAATTTTTTTATTTTTTTTATTTTTTTATTGTTATAATGGTTGAGTACTGTTTTGGTTGTATAGCTTGTCTTATTTATTTTTAAATATTCCTCTATTAATCTTTATTTTTGTCTTGACAGCTGTCAAAATATGCTTTGTCTAATAAATAATTCTCCTTTATTCTAATGTACTTAATTTTTCCCTCAGGCGTTCACTGTTCGTGTGTGACCATTCGGCGAATTTTATATGCCAAAGTTTTTAAATAATATTGGGCCTAGCCCGTAAGGGTTAGTGTTACGGTCATCGAGCACGACTATTTTCCTAATCGCAATTACTGTCACCGCGAAAGAGGATTTTTGTGGAAGATGCCTGGGCTAGCTTTTTAGTCATATGTCAGTTATAAATCCATGCATAGGTGTTTAATCCATCATGGTTTTCTGGAGTATGGCTGGGCTGGCTTGGTTTAGTTCAGAGACAAATCTTTTACGCTGGTTACTAACAATACAAGACTCTACTGAACGACATAAACAGCACAGACTTACACATTACACCTATACACCCTTATACACATACAGCCTGTTTACATCTTTTGCATGCTTTTTGTTCTTTCATAGATAAACTATCTTTGTTTGGTCTCAAAGTTACATTCAAATGGGACCGTAGAGAAAACTTTTTTTCGGAAATTTTGATTTAGATATGGTCTCAAAGTTACTTTTAATTCGGACCGTAGAGAAAACTTTACTTTTCGGAAATTTCGATTTAGATATGGTCTCAAAGTTTCTTTTAGTTCGGACCGTAGAGAAAATTTCATTTCTTAAAATTTTTTTTTCTGCTTTCTACATCGTTTTTATATCACGATATATATCATTGATATATTACCCACAACTAATTTTTTAACCACTCATTTGGCTTAAAATCTGGTTTTATTACAATATTTAGTTAGTCTTATTGCTATATTTATTAATATATTACTTATCTCCTGATTTTCATATTATTACTGTTTACAGAAACTTTCATGTTATATTATCTTGCATTCATTACTCAGCTTTGTTTTAATTTTCACATACACAATTTTCATCTTTATTATTATTCAGAGAATACTTTTATATCCTTCATTTAATGTTTACATTTATGTCGCTTACATTTTTAAGGTTTTTGTGCAACGTTCTTTTTCGCTATCACATATTATTCTATTATTGTTATGATTTTGGGTTTCGCGGGTTACTCATTTTCCTACACTTTTGATTGGTTATCATATTTCGAATGAGGTATCTATGACAGCGTTAGAGTTTATTTAAGGGTATTGTTTTGTTTATTAAAAAAAATTTTTAATGAGATATACTGCTTTCTGATTATCTTGGGCTTGCTTATGCTAATAATACCTATTTGGTTTTATTTCTTAAAACAAATTGATTAATATTTTTATGTTTCTATTAGAATTTTAATTTATTTTGTTTTCATGTTTTCTTTTGGTGGTACGGTAAGTGTTTTATTTAGTTATTTTTATTTTCGTTTGTTCAGTAAATCTATACTTTTTATATCATATCATCAAAAAAAATATTGGTGCTTTACAAATTTAGGGTTGGTTGGGTTTTGGCTATTTGTAGTGAGTCCCTTTTTACTGCAGTATGGAATAGGCGTAAGTCGCGGGGTAAAGCATAAGTGGCAATGACGTTTGTCTGACGGGATAAACTAGTTATAAATGCTGATCCTCATTGAAACGCCAGTAATAATAGACACGACTCTGAGGAGATGATTATTACTTATCACTACACTAATTATGTTTACACATTAGCATTAATGTTTTTTTTCCATTATTAGTCCTTTCATTGTTGTTAGCATAATTTTAATTTGTTGTTATATATATATTTCATTGTTATATATTGTTGTTATATATATATGTATATATATATATATGTATATATATATATATGTATATATATATATATATATATATATATATATATATATATATATATATATATATATATATATATATATATATATATATATATATATATATATATATTATTATTATTATTTGTTTTTATTTTTTTTAATTTTTAATTTTTTTTTTATTGTTATTATGGTTGAGTACTGTTTTGGTTGTATAGCTTGTCTTATTTTTAAATATTCCTCTATTAATCTTTATTTTTGTCTTGACAGCTGTCAAAATATGCTTTGTCTAATAAAGAATTCTCCTTTATTCTAATGTACTTCATCTTTTCCCTCAGGCGTTCACTGCTCGTGTGTGACCATTCGGCGAATTTTATATGCCAAAGTTTTTAAAAAATATTGGGTCGGCTAAAAAATGTAAACAGATCATTAGTCTTTTAAATTTATTATCTGTTAAATTTATTTGAAATTTTCAAATTCAAAGCTAATTTTATATATGTACCATTATTGTCTATGACCTCTTGATAACGTTTAGAAAAAGAACAAATGCTATTGATTAAGACTCTTTAGACTTTGAGTCAAAGAAATAATTGAGTATCTGTTGGAGTGACTTGTTATGCAAGCTTTTGATTAGTGATTACAAAAAATACCAATCTGTAAACTCAAATGAATAATTTAAAAAAAAAAGTCTATTAAGGAGAATGAATGAGACAGACTTTGAGTCCAAGAAATGATTGAGGACCTGTTTAAGTGACTCGTTGTACAAACTGTTTATTAGAAAAAATGATAATCTGAATAATAATAATAATAATAATAATCTAAAACACTAAGTCTGTTATAGAGAGTTAATGAGACAAAACTTTGTCATGCCTCAGAAAATTCAAAATAGTTCTGCTTGAAACTTTTTGAATTCAGAATAGATGGTTGTTATTGCAGGTAGTAGGTTGTTGCATTGATTGTGGTGTTCAGAAGAAACAGTTTCCAGTACACAATATCGCAGACGACAAAAGTAGGTTGTTGGCTTGATTGTGATTGAAACTCCCCAATTTGAAAGCAAATATTTTTGGGGTGTTGAATTTACGAGTTAGATTTGCCAGTTGATCTGGAACTAGCCACTGATACTTTCGGTGTTATGATCTAGTTAAACATGCAGTGCAAAGACAAGACGCTCATGCAGGTGTCTATTAAATTTTAAATAAAAAAGCTCTGTAATAAAATTTTTTAGTTGATACTGATTTCAAAGTAAAAATTACAAAAGAACAATTTGTGTTTGTTAATTTTATTTTTTTTTAAATAATTATCTTATTAAACATTTTTTATCTATTTAGTGATTTTTTTATTTACTTTTTATTTTTGACCCATTTGTATTTATTATCATTTTTTTATCAAAATATTATAATATTTTCTTGTTTTACCTAAATTCAGAAAAAAAAAAATAACAGGTTAGTTTGAAATATTTTTCCTTTGGATTGGTAACTACAGATTTGTTGACAAAATCATTTTTTTTCACATACTTAAATCAAATAATTTTAGTAACTTTCTAACATTTTTTTTAAATTTAGAAAACACAGTTGCTTGCCTGTATTACTTAAGCAATTGTGTGTACTGCAAAGTTCTAATTTGAAATAATAATATACACAATGTGGAATAAACATTCAATTTTTATTCTCATGTTTATACAATTGCATAAAACTTTAAATTAAAATTCAACTTACCAACTCTTGGTATTCAAACTGTAGATTTTTATACTTTTCTTCTGTTGAATTGCAAAGCATTTGAAGAGCCTGGTGCTAATCCTTAATTGCCTATTCAAATAAATGTTTTTTATTCTTAACATGTTTCCTTTTTTACATTTTCAAAAGATTTTACAATAAAAATAACAAACTCTGGAAAAAAATTTAAAATAGAAAAAATTTAACAGACAGAAATACACATAATGATTCAGATTGTTCATTTATATAAAAATTATTTAAATTATAAATTAAAATTATAATATTATAGCATTTTACATTTTCAAAAAAATCTTCAAAAAAATATAAACTAGCCTAAAATTAATTAAATTAATCAAAAAATTAAATAAAAATTAATTAAAGGAATTAATAGATAAAATTATGTTTATATACATAGAATATTTTGTCACCCTGTTTTATTTTAGTTGTTGAATGTCTGGAGGTTTCTCCAATATAACTTGCATAACAGCCACCACAATTAAATTTGTCGACAAAATGAGCAGATCAGAGAGTGAAAGTGAAAGTAAATTTTTATATAAACAGTTGGATGACATAATTGCCATCTTTAATACTTTTTTGAAATAAATTAATGTAATGTAATCCTTAGTTTCTATGTATTAGTACTATTGTATCAGTAGTACTGATACAGTATCAGTACTACTGTATCAGTAGCAGGCAGTTTTTGTATTTATTTTACCGCAACTCATTACTTTTAGGCATCAGATATGCTTTTCTGTAATATCCTCTAAACTTTTGACGATGTGAATTATTTCTATTTAAATATGTAAACATGCAGCTCTTTTTTAAACATGTTTTATTTTTTCAACTTATAAAAAATTAAAGCAAAATTAAAAATTACAAAAAGTAAATTTGTTTGAAACAAGTAACAACCTTTACTGATACTGTAACATGACTTTTATTAACTGCAAAGGATGTTACTGTAACCATTGAAACCATGCAACACTAACACAGCAAATATTGAGATGCAATAAAAAATAAATATACAAATTACAAGACCACACATTTTAAATAAAAACAAAAGAAATCTTGTATATCATTATTACAAAGCAGACTCGCCTAGCCAAAGTAAAACAAAAATGTCTCTTTTATCTTAAAAAAAGAAGAATCATTGTTTCTACATGGATTGTTCCATTTCAGATTACAACTTATGTTGGAGAAGCAGTAACTGGTATTTGGGAAAACCCAAAAGCAAAGTTGCTCAATTCAAAATAAAAAACAATTTGTTTTAGATTGAATAAGTTTTTTTGTTAATTATTTTAATGAAATAAACTAATTAAATTTAAAAATATTAATAATAAACAAAAAAAAAGCATTCACAACTTCATGCAACATTTTTTTCAAAAGATTATTTGTCCACAGTGTTTATATATATATATATATATATATATATATATATATATATATATATATATATATATATATATATATATATTTTATTTTAATTCACCTCCTCAAGGCCGAGGAGGCCACTACAGACGAGGAGACTACTTATTTGTGGTTATAACCCTCTCTCAACTCTATAACTCCGAAACACGAACCTTGACAAGCAAGGCCGCTGCGCGGAGAAACGAGTTGAGCGCGGTACTACCAGGGACGTGGTGAGGATCGAACTCGGATTATAATTAGTAGTTTACCCCATTTTTTAACTACCAGGGACATGGTGGTACTACCAGGGACGTGGTGGTGAACGAACTCGAAATATAATTAGTAGTTTACCCCATTTTTTAACTAAGTAATTAAATTAAATTTATTTAACAACAAATAAACTATTCACAACAACAAAGAAAAGGTTGGCAAAAAATTATCAACCTCTGACACTATTATGTTCACATTTTAATTTAAAAACTACTAAAGATCCTAGCTTTTATCTTTTCTAGTGCATATTGATTGAATATAATTGCCAAAACACATTTCTATTAACTTTTACATAAAAAAAAAAAAATTCTGACCAAGAAAGAGCTTATAATTAAGAAAAATTGCCAATAAATAAGTAGAACAGATCATATTAAACCTATTACATTTTAATATTCTAAAGTCCCCTTAACTACACGGAGTGTTAAGAATAAAAGTTTTTTACAAGAAGAGATAATTTTTGCAAGTTCTTTAAGTATTACAAATAAAGAATCATAAAAATACTAAAATGTAACAAAATACTCAAATAAACAGCTGCCTGTTGTTTTAATATATAATCAAGATCACTGCAATGTTAGTTTCCTTTTTCCATGATAACAAACTGTCGCTATGTAACAAATATACCACTATTTTCTTACTTTAGATGAAAAAACTAGTGGTCTTAATCAGTTTAAAGGAGAACCAGGTAAGCAACTGCAAAACCCCTAATGAAAGCCTCTAATGGCAAACTGTTATTAAGCCCCTAATGACAAAACTGTATTTCCAATTATTTCCCTTAATAATTCATTAATAAAACATTAGTTTTGTTAATAAATTGTTATTCCCTGAGTCATCCCTAGCTGTCTGTGGATCATCTTTAAGAGAAAGTTTTATTAAAGCAAAAATTGTATTTAAAAAAAAAAATGCTAAAACTTGATACAAAAAAAACATTTCAATATGTCACACTAAAAAGCAGTAAAAAGCATATGTTAGAAACATTGAAAATCTTATCAATTACTTGAATGATACAAATTTATTTATTCTTATTTTTTACTATTTTTTGTAGGAGGTAATAAACAAAAATAGTACATTAATAAATGTAAGAGATAATAAACCATTTACTTTGTTATCAAAGCATAAAGAAATGATAAAAATTGAGAAAAATACGTATTTGTAATAAAGACTTTTTGTTATTGGATATTTTATGAAAATTGTTTCTTTTCTTAGTTTAATTAAACATTAATGTTACTAATTTCACAGTAAGAGTATGTTAAGATTTAAAAAACATACAACCAAATTTCATCGCCTACACTACAGAAGTGCAGAAAAATAGATATAAAAAGTTTTGCGTTTTATATATGTATCTATATAAAGATAGATATATATATAAAACACAAAAAAATTTAATTTTGCAATTAGATTTTTTTGCGTTAATTCGAGCCCTGCATATATTATATATTTTTAATTATTATTATCGAAAAAAAAACATTTATTTAAAATACTAAAGAATTTTGCATTCGTTCTGGTTCTTTCGCGTATCTCAAATTTTTCGTAGGTGGTGGACCCCCTAAATTAACTCAGATTTGAAAAAAAACAATTCTTTGATATAAGGGCATTGGATGCACCCTTATATATATATATATTTATATATATATATATATATATATATATATATATATATATATATATATATATATATATATATATATATATATATATATATATATATATATATATATATATATATATATATATATATATATATATATATATATATAAATATATATATATAATATTTATATATATTTATATATAAAAACATATATATATATATACACATATATATATATATAAATATATATAAAAACATATATATATATATACACATATATATATATACATATATATATATATATATATATATATATATATATATATATATATATATATATATATATATATATATATATAATATATATATCTGAATATATATATATATATATATATATATATATATATATATATATATATATGTATATATATATATATATATATATATATCCAGAATATATATATATATATATATATATATATATATATATATATATATATATATATATATATATATATATATATATATATATATATATGATATATATATATATATATATATATATATATATATATATATATATATATATATATATATATATATATATATATATATATATATATATATATATAAGCCATCATTTACAAATAAAAAAACTTTTAAATGCAACCCTCTATCAAAATATATATGGGAAACTAGGGAAAAACTGAAAGAAACACAAGAATTAACTTGGTTTATCCTAAAAAGTCCCTGCTTACAACAATACAAAAATAAATGTTTACTTTGTTTATATCAAAAACTATTAATTTAATCTTCATAAAAATGCTTCATAAAAACGAATTTATTTTCAAATGTTGTCACAAAAATAAACTTTAATTAAGCAACCACAAACTTAAAGAATACACGTAACAATAATTTTTTCAGTATAGTTTCAGCTGTATGTATATTTCAAACAAACAAAATATATTTGTATTTCACTAGATGATTACAACAACATGAAACTTAAAGTTGTGAAAATCATGTAGTTTTATATATATATATAATATATATATATATATTATATATATATGTATATATATATATAATATAAATATATATATATATATATTTATATAACAATATAAATTATATATATATATATATTTATATTATATATATATATAAACAAATATAAATATATATAAATATATAAATAAACAAAATATATTTGTATTTCACCTGATGATTACATGTATATATATATATATATATATATATATATATATATATATATATATATATATATATATATATATATATATATATATATATATATATATATAATATATATATATATATATATATATATATATATATATATATATATATATGAATATATATATATATATATATATATATATATATATACATATATATATATATATATATATATATATATATATATATATATATATATATATATATATATATATATATATATATATATATATATATATAACCAGAATTAGGAATTTGAGATCTGCAATATTTTGCCGACCTCAATCTTTTAGAGGTTGCCATCGGGTCAGCAAAAAAAAATTGATACAAACGTCTTACCATAAAACATCAAAACAAGGTCGGCAATTTTTCTCCGAGTGCAAACACTATTAGGTCGGCATTGCCAAATGCTGACCCCAATTCTGAGGGTTGTATATATATATAAATATATATATATATATATATATATATATATATATATATATATATATTTCTGATACAAGCTGTCATGGCCCACTAAATTACATGACCATGTATACACAAAAAAAAAATTGCAATTAATAATTGATTTAAT